TTCAATAGTATACAAAAAGGTGGAAAGAAATACCATGCTCTTGGATGGAAAGAATTGACATCGTGAAAATGTCCATTCTACAATGCAATTCCCATAAAAATACTAATGACATTCTTCACAGAAATAGAAAAAACAATCGTAACATTCATATGGAACAACAAAAGACCACAAATAGCCAAAGCAATCCTAAGCAAAAAAAAATAAAGCCAGAGATGTAACACTACCTGACTTCAAATTATATTACAAAGCTATTGTAACCAAAATAGCATGGTACTGGCATAAAAACAGACACTCTTATCAATGGAGCAGAACAGAAATCCCAGGAATCAACCCACATACTAACAGCCAACTGATCTTTGAAAAAGGCAATAACATACATTCGGGAAAAGACTACCTCTTCAATATATGGTCCTGAGAAAGTTGGACATCCGTATGCACAAAAATGAGACTAGACCTTTGCCTCTCACCATATACCAAAATCAACTCAAAACTGATTAAAGACTTAAATATAAGACCCTAAACCATAAAATTACTAAAGGAAAAATAGGAGAAACACTCCGGGAAGTAGGACTGGGCAAAGACTTTATGATTAAGACCCCAAAAGCACAAACAACAAAATAAAAAATAAACAAATGTGATTATATCAAATTAAAAAGCTTCTGCACAGCAAAGGAAACAATCAACAGAGCAGAAAGATAACCTATGGAATGGGAGAAAATATCTGCAAACTATAAATCTGACAAGGGATGATTAATATCCAAAATATACAAAGAATTCAAATGACTCTACAGTAAAAACACAAATAATCCAATTCAAAAATGGGCAGAGGAGGTGAATAGACATTTTTCAAAGGAAGAATGGACAGCAGGTACATGAAAAAAATGCTCAGCATCACTAGTCATCAGAGAAATGAAAATCAAAACCACGATGAGATATCATCTCACCCCGGTTAGACTGGCCATTATTAAAAAGACTGAGGATAACAAACGCTGGTGAGGATGTGGGGAAAGGGAAACTCTTCTGTACTGTTGGTGGGACTGTAAACTAGCACAGCCATTATGGAAAACAGTACAGAGGTTCCTCAAACAACTACAAATAGAGCTACCATATGATCCAGCAATCCCACTACGCAGTATATAACCACAGGAATGGAAATCATCATGTCAAAGGGACACCTGCACTCCCATGTTCATCGCAGCTCTATTTACAATAGCCAAGATATGGGACCAACCTAAGTATGCATTGACAGACCACTGGATAAGGAAAATGTATATACACACAACTGAATACTACTCAGCCATAAAAATGAATAAAATTCTGTCATTTGCAGCAACATGGATGTGTCAGAGAAAATTATGTTAAGTGAAATAAGCCAGGCAAGGAAAGAGAAATGCTGCATGTTCTCACTTATAACTGGGTGTTAGAAGGAAGGAAGGAAAGAAGGGAAGAAGGGAAAGAAAAGAAGGAAGGAAGAAAGAAAGAGAGACCATAACAATACATTGAACTTTCAGAAGGAGAAACCAAACCTAAGGATGCTACAGATGGGGAGCAGAGACAGAGGGGGTTTGGAGAGTGATGGGTCGGGTAAAGGGAACAAAGAAAAATCGTGATTTGTAATAATGAATATGCTTATAATACATAATAAAAAAATTTTTTAAATTGATTTTTTCTCCCTTCCTCAGGGGCTGTGTTCTCGATCTACAGATTGCCTTTTCTCTGGAAATCAAGTGTTCCTTTCTTTCCTCTCAGATCTAAAGGTCATTTGTTATTTTTTATGTTTTTTTTTTTTTTTTTGTCTTTTGTCTTTTTCTGTGTCCGGCAACGGATCGCAACCCTCA